GAGTCCAGTCTGGGCAACAGAGTGAGACTCCAAATAAAAAAAAAAAAAAAAAAAAAAAAAAAAGGAAAGGCCTGCTTGCAACATGCTATAGTTCGAATAGTGGTGTCCCCTTGCTGAAAATCTGGGCGCAGTGGTTCACGCCTGTAATCCCAGCACTTTGGGAGGCGGAGGTGAGATAAATGCCTAGTCCAAGGCTTCAAGACCTCAACTCTGCAATAAATGAAAAATTTGCTGGGTGTGTTGCCAAGCGCCTGTGGTTTCAGCTACTTTGAAGGTTAAGGTGGAAGGATTGCCTGAGCCAAGCAGGTTAAGGCTGTGGTGGCCGTGAGCATGCCACTGTACTCCAACCTGGACAACAGAGAGACTTCAACTAAAAAAAAAAAAAAAGAAAAAAAGAAAAATTTGAGTTTCGCTATGCCACAAAGCCTAAAATCTATGATCTTCTGAAGTCCATATTATTTATTTTTTTCCTATCATTACAGAAACTGCCATCATTTTAATGACTTCAGATTGATACAGGAATGAATATATCAAAACTCAAATTATTATAGAGGAAAGCAAACTTCCATTTAGAATAATTCAATGACATCATTGGTATGTTACTTATCTTTTGGTATTTTAATATCATAATCATAAATTCCAGTTATATAACTTCCAGATCAAAGAGATGAACAACCTATATTCTAATATATGCTTCTTTCCAAAAACTGTGCTTCACTGCTACCAATAGGGAAAACCATGTAAATGCACATCCTGCCCTAATAATACATTTGATACAGTTATCAAATTTCCACAAGTTTTTTGGTATTTGCTTCATGGGTGTGGGGTAAAAATATGGTATAACCCCTACCTGAATAGTTATAATACAAGAATACTATTGTAATTAGAAGGCAATCATTTCAAAGTCTGGATGGAATTGTAGAGTCAGAAATCAAATAAATTCAAGGTTGATAAAGAAAACTGTTGATAACCACTTTTGACACTCACACGATCCTTCTGCCTCAGCCTTTCAAGTAGCTGGAACTATAGGTGTGCACCACCATGCCCAGGTAATTTTTCTTGATTTATTTTAGAGATAAGGTCTCGCCAAGTTGCCCAGGCTGGTCTTGAACCTGTGGGCTCAGGCAATCCTCTCACCTCAGTCTCCTAACGTGCTGGGATTATAAGTATGAGCCACCATGCCTGGCCTACTTCTGACACTTTAAACGTGCTACTGCAAGCCGGGCTCAGTGGCTCAGCCTGTAATCCTGCGCCTTTGATAGGCTGAGGTGAGTAGATTGCCTGAGCCCGCGGGTTTGAGACCCGCCTGGGCAGCAAGACCTCATCTCTACAATAAATCAAAAAATCAGCCAGGCGTGGTAGCGCACGCCTGCGATTCCGGCTACTTGGAAGGCTGAGGCGGAAGGATCGCCGGAGCCCGGCAGGTCGAGGCTGCGGTAGCTGGGAGCGGCCACTGCACTCCAGTCTGGGCGACAGAGTGAGACTCCAACTCAAAAAAAAAAAGAAAAAAAGAAAAGTGCTACTGCAAACCCCTGCCTTAACACTGATGGATAAAAATTCAATTGCATAATATTCAATAATTTGTTGTAAGGTTAATACAATTTTTTCATTCTGCATCATCAGAAAAGTCTCAAAATATAGTTCAACTTATATTATATACAAACCTTGGAAAACTAGACAGGGACCCAAACAATAAGAACCCAATTTGAGAGCAGAGAGTAAAGGGAGAACAGGAGTCAACTGTAATAGAGTAATATCATTTTAATATTGTAAATTGCTGTATCTACTGGTTTTTTGCATTTCAACAAGTTCTCATTTCCCTGAATAATTTTATTTCACAGGTTTCCTTCTGTGGGTACAATTTTCAAATATTGTACATATATTCCTTTTGATTCAGTTAAAAAATAAGTACTAAGTACATTTATAAGCACTAGGCAATGTTAAGGTTGTATCAATTCAGCAGCTAAGTTCCTGCCCCCGTGGAACTTACAGTCTACTGGACAACAATTCTGGCACCCCCCCCCCCTTTTCTAAGTTCTGCCTAAGTGACATCTGACTCAAGTCCTTACTATACCACTTACAAGTATTTTCAGCTGTGTGGTCTCTGGACCACTGGATGTGTTGAGCAATTGCTTAAACATTGATTTATTTATTTTGAGTTGGAGTCTCAGTCTGTTGCCCAGGCTGAAGTGCAGTGGCACACTCAGGGCCACCACAGCCTTGACCTGCTGGGCTCAGGTGATCTGAGCCTCTGCCTTCCAAGTAGCTGGAACTACAGGCACGCACCACCACACCCAGCTAATTTTTTAATTTATTGTAGAGATGAGGTCTTGCCAAGTTGCCCAGGCTGGTCTCGAACCCGTGGGCTCAGGCTATCCTCTCACCTCGGCCTCCCAAAGTGCTGGGATTACAGGCGTGAGCCACCGTACCCAGCCACACTGATTTAAATAAAACAAATATTTTCTCTCTTATGAAACCTGATGATTACAAGAATTCAGTTTGCACGAGTTTTTAAGAAAATCACTTTGTAGAACTTCCTTCTTCTGTCAATTCTCTGATGTTCTTACCACTGTTATCACTTTCATAAAATGTATCACCAGCATGAATTTTGTGATGACTTACAAGATTTGATCTCCAGCTGAAGCTCTTACCACATATCTCACAGTTGTAAGGCTTCTCCCCAGTGTGAACTCGCCTATGATACTGAAGTTGTGAAGTCCGACTGAAGACTTTACCACACACATCACATTTGTATGGTTTCTCTCCAGTGTGCACACTCTGATGAAGCTGAAGACTTGAGGCCTGACTGAAGTTCTTCCCACATTCCCCACACTTATATGGTTTCTCTCCCGTGTGTACCCTCTGATGCATGTCAAGATTCAAGCTCCACTTGAAGCCCTTCCCACACTCCTCACATCTGTATGGCTTTTCTCCCGTGTGGACTTTTTGATGGGCTTGAAGGTGTGCACTCCGACCGAAGTTCTTCCCACACTCTTCACATTTGAACGGTTTTTCTCCACTGTGGACTCTCTGATGGGTTAGAAGATGTGAGGCCTGACTGAAGACCTTCCCACATTCCTCACAATTATATGGTCTCTCTCCTGTGTGGATCCTGCAGTGAATTTTAAGATCTGCTCTGCGACTGAATCCCTTTCCACACGCTTCACATTTGTACGGTTTCTCACCAGTATGGACCAGCTGGTGAATCTGAAGTCGTGAGCTCTGATTAAAGCCCTGCCCACACTCCTCACACTTATAAGGTTTCTCTACACTATGTGCTTTTAGATGGATTTTAAGATATGAACTCTGACGGAAGGCTTTCCCACATACCTCACATTTATAGGGTTTCTCTCCTGTATGGACCACCAGATGAACTTGATAATGGATTTTCATCCTGAAGCTCTTCCCACACACATCACATTTGTATGGTTTCTCCCCAGTGTGAACTCCCTGATGGGCCTGAAAACTTGAACTGTAAATGAAGCCCTTACCACATACTTTGCATACATATGGTTTCTCTCCAGTGTGGATTCTCCGATGGGCTTGAAATTGTGAAGGCTGAATGAAGCACTTACCACATTCTTCACACTTATAAGGTTTCTCCCCGGTGTGGACTCTCTGATGGATACGAAGATTTGAGCTACAAGTGAAACGTTTCCCACAGTCTTCACATTTGTACGGTTTCTCTCCTGTGTGGACCATGCAATGATTATTAAGTGCTGACCGACGACGAAAGTTCTTACCACATGTATCACATTTGAATGGTTTCTCCCCAGTATGGATTCTCTGATGTTCCTGAAGGTGGGAAGCATGTATAAAGGCCCTCCCACATTCCTCACAATTGTAAGGTTTCTCTCCTGTGTGTAATTTGCAATGTACAGTAAGTGTTGATCTACGACTGAAGCCTTTCCCACATTCCACACATTTGAATGGTTTCTCTACAGTGTGAACTCTATGATGAGTTTGCAGATGTGAGCTCTGACTGAATTCCTTGCCACACACATCACACTTATAGCGTTTCTCTCCCATGTGAATTCTCTGATGAATGCGAAGAGCTGAGTTATAACAGAAGCTTTTTCCACACTCATCACATGTATGAGACTTCTCTCTTGAGTGTAACTGCTGATGAAAATCAAAATTGGAGACATCACTGAAGGATTTTTTATACTCGTTACACTGGTAAAGTTTCTGTCTTGTGTGAGTTACAGATAGTCCTGCCCCAACCTGGTAGGGCAAATCACCTTGTTTGGGGAACTGAGAACTATTTATCATGGAGTCTTGACACCTGGTTAAATCACTTGCAATTTGTTGCCAGATTTGCCCACAGGAAAGCTCTTCATGTGATCCTACTTCTGGATCAGTCTCCATCTCAGTTAGGATCTTGCCTGCTGTAAGGACAGAGAATTGAGATGTGGACAACTGGAGGCTCTGTTCAAAGTTTTCAAGATATCATACTTGGGGAAGAGCATGAGATTTTAACAAATCCAGAGAAGGTCCAGTTTGTCTTTTTCACGGTGTATTATGGTCTCTGGTTTGCCTGCCTAGAGAAACCAAGAGGTGGTCTAGTTGGCTGCTATCCACTAGGCATTAATGAGATCAATTAGATCATACCAAGTCTCCTATGTGAGGTACAAGTTAGAAGTCAAAGACTTAATTTTAAAAAGTGATAATATGATACAAACTGTTAATCTACCGATATTTCTTTCCCTTTTTTGTGTTTTTTGTTTGCTTGTTTGTTTCTTTGCTTTTACTACTGCCATTTCTATTGAATTTCAGTGTAGAAGCATGAATAGCAGATTATATAAATATAAAAATCATATAGATAATAAAATATGAATCACAGAAAACTTGAAGGAAAAGCAAGAAAATAACCAAATTCTTTGCAGTTTAGGTTCATGCTACATATTCAAATTATTAAATACCCTTTACATATTCAAAATACAGTTGACCCTTGAACAACACAGGTTTGAACTGAATATGTCCACTTATTCATGAATTTTCTTCCACCTCTGCCTCCACTGAGTTGTTCAAGGGTCAACTGTATTCCTGAATATTCTGCACAACATATACACCCAATCTTATTTAGTCATTAAATGAGTTAGCAAATACTACAAACTCTTGAACTGCTTCTAATATAACGAGTTTAAAAAGTGTCTTCCAAAAATCTTATCCTCATTAATATTCCAAAGTTTCTAAACTTGTACAAAGCTATCTAAATATCTGGAGATTACTTTTTTCAATAAATGATTCCACAAAAGTTTAAAAAGTACTTCTGAGCAAATTTTTATAGGGGAAATATGTACTCCCCTTCCTGCAAGAACAGTCATTTAAAATTGCCTCCTCCTACTGGGCATGGTGGCTCAGGCCTGTAATATCAGCACTTTGGGAGGTGGAGGCAAGAGGATTGCCTGAGTCCAGGGGTTCAAGACCAGCCTGGGCAACTTAGTAAGACCTCGTCTCTTCAATAAATAAAAAATAATTAGCTGGGCATGGTAGTGCACACCTGTGGTTCCAGCTTTCAGTTTCTTGGAAGACTGAGGAGAGAGGATTGCCTGAGCCCGGCAGGTCAAGGTTGTGGTGGCCATGAGAGTGCTGCTGCACTCCAGTCTGGGTGACAGAGTGAGACGCCTACTCAAAATAATAAAAAATAAATAAAATTTCCTTCTCCTTTGTTTCAGGAGACATTTGATAAACAGTCTGTAAATAACTCTGCCTTAGGTCATTTTATCGGGAAATTACTTCAACGTCTAGGTGACTGGAATGGTTAACACAACTTGTGGGTTGAAAGCAAATTTCTAAGCGCCTACTGCCTAAAATATAGCACATGGGTACAGAGTGTAACTTTAGCTCCTGTTGGCAAGTTTCCTTCATGAGGACAAAAGGGAAAGAGAGTTGAACTGATAACATGCATTATTCTAAAATCTGGTAGTAATTCAGACCAGAAAAAAAAAGTTAAAAAGTAGAAGCTAATCTTTTGCAACTGAGACAGAGACTGGGAGAAGGAAAAAATGAGGCCATAGTATGAACTCTGAAAGCCAACCCTTCAGCAGGAGTTAGGTTCAGGTAGGAACTCCTCCTATATAGGAACATGGATGGCTCCACATGTCTTGTGAGTTTCTGACTAATGTCAGGTGACCAATGAGACCTTTTTTTTTTTACCACTTAATGAGAAATACCAACTTTTGTCCTCACTTAATTCACCTCTGGAAACGACCTGCTTATGTTCTTCACAGCACTTTTACCATCTGACACACTAAATCATTGGTTGTTTTATGTATGTCTTTTCCACCACAATGCAGCATCAATGAGGGAAGCATTTTACAATTTGGACATTACACACATTTTACACTTTTTTACATTATAACCATTGTCCAGAACTGTGCCTGTCATAGCACAATGCAACAAATGCATGCCAAATGAATAAATGAATCCTAGTTTGAATTTTTTGTGAGAGTTTAAACCAAGTCCTAGAAGAAAAACATCTTTTCCAAGTAAGTTATTTGAAATAGGAAAGGAACAGAAAACTGCAATTTTGTGGGGAAGCTGAAAAGCTGTACCAGAGATAGGGTGTGCAGGGGTGATTCTAATGAGAAAAATCAAAGGTGACAAGAATCACTTGGGGTGAAAAGAAAGAAAGCAGGAAGGCCTATACACTTGTTTCTTCTGAAACTCTGGATGTAGATAAATTGGACTTCCACAGTTTTTCAAATTGAAAACTGGAGCCCTTTAGTGAGCTGTGAAACACATTTTAAAACTTGTAAAAAACCAAGATAGAATCTATTAGAGCATTATTACCAGTGAGAGGGGTTCTTATGTGAAATGTCTACTAAAGAGATCAGTCTATGCAACTTGGTGAGACCTTATCTCTACAATAAATCAAAAAATCAGCTGGGCATGGTGGTACACACCTGTAGTTCTAGCTACTTGGGAGATTGAAGCCAAAGGATCACCTGAGCCCAGCAGGTTGAGAGTATGGTGGCTGTGAGCATGCCACTGCACTCAAGCCTGGGTGACAGAGTGAGACTCCGACTCAAAAACAAAAACAAGCAAAAAGACCCTTTAAAAATAGTAGTTTTTTGAGGTAAACGGTGAATCTCTCTGAGGATGTGACAATTTTGAGCAGAAAGTTTCCTGATTTTTTCTCAGGTTATAGTATCAACTAGTTGAAAATAAAACCCAGATCTTTATCAAAATAAAAGAAAAAGTATATATCTATATTCTTTAACATTTGTTTAATGGCTAAATTTGTAGAAAACAAAAGCACAACATATTTTAGAACCAGAGATACAGGAAACATTCAGCTGTGACTTGTGCCAGGGGCAGTGATGTGGACAGGTACCTTGGAAGAAGCAAATGAGCCACAGATGGGCAGGTCACTTAAGATAGTGGTGCCCGCTGGGCTCGGTGGCTCAGCCTGTAATCCCACGTCTTTGGGAGGCTGAGGTGAGTGGATTGCCTGAGCCCGCGGGCTCGAGACCCGCCTGGGCAGCGAGACCTCATCTCTACAATAAAGCAAAAAATCAGCCAGGCGTGGTAGCGCATGCCTGTAATTCTGGCTACTTGGAAAGCTGAGGCAGAAGGATAGACGGAGCCCAGCAGGTCGAGGCTGCGGTGGCCGGGAGCGGCCACTGCACTCCAGTCTGGGCGACAGAGTGAGACTCCAACTCAAAAAAAATAATAAGATAGTGGTGCCCGACCTTTTTGGTATCAGGGACAGGTTTTGTGAAGATAATTTTTCCATGAACCAGGGGAGCGGTGACCATCAGGCATTAGTTCTCTTAAGGGGCATGCAACTTAGATCCCTCACATGTACAGTTCACAATAGGGTTTGAGCTTCTGTAAGAATCTAACTCTACTTGCCCACTGCTCACCTCCTGCTATGTGGCCCGGTTCCTAACAGGCCATGGACCAGTACTAGTCCACAGCCCGGGTTTTGAGGACCCCTGATTTAAAGGAAAGCAGTTTGCAAACTGATTACTAGCTGACACCACAGGAAATAGATAGCTTCCTTGTGTGGGGAGCTGTCTCAGAAGTAGAAATTAGAATCCTCATTCAAAAAGCATTGTTCCCAGAAATGAATGTTCTTCCTCTCCTCCTCAAAGTACTAACCAGGACTGACCCTGCTTAGCTTCTAAGATTGGGCACATTTAGGATTGTATGTTCATAGACCCAGAAATGAATATACTTCCTATGGAAGGCTTCAGGAAAGCCACTAGAAAGGCTTGCTATTCAGTGTGGTCACAGTCACAATGCTTACAAGTTTCTATGGGATGTGGGTCAAATGCACACAAACACACATTCACACCAAGGGCACCTAAGGAAGCAGAAATTAGATACGTGGCTACCAGAAAGCAAAAAACAAAGAACATTCTACAACATCCTTCATTCACTCTGGCTTGTGCCTAAGCTATCCTGTCTCCAAGACTCCCAGAGACAGTGACATTCCACCCACCCATTAACACATTCATTTTGCCAACAAGTATGTATAGATACCTGCCATCTACCAGAACTATTCTAGGCACTGAGGACAGAGCAATAAACAAAACAGAAAAAATTCCTCCACTCTTGAAGATTACATTTCAGTGAGGAGAAAGAGATAATAAGCAAGTAAACCAAAGTCTATGAAACACAATATAAAGCAGAGCAGAATACAGACAGGATGGCATTTCCTATAAGGTGGTCAGAAAAGGCCTCTTTTGTGAAATTAAAACTAAGTCGAGACCAGAATGAAGGGAGAGGTCAAGAGGATTTTGGTTATCAAGGCAGAGAGAAGAACAAATAAGGGCTATGAGGCAGAAATGTCTGCAGTAGGCAAAGTAATTGTCCCCCAAAGAATCCACGTCCTAATTCTTGTCCTAAGAATATGTCAGGTTACATGATAAAAGATAATTAAGGTTGCAAAGAGAATTAAGGTTGCTAATCAGCTGACCTAAAAATAGAAGACTATCCTATATTATCCAGGTGGGTCCAATGTAATCAAAAGGGTCTTTCTGTGGAAAAATGATACAGAAAAGAAAGTAAAAGGGAAATGTGACCATAGAAGAATGGTCAGAGAAGCAATGCTGTTGGCTGTGAAGGGAGCCACAAGCTCGGAAATCTGGCAGCCCCTTGAAGCAGAAAAGATAAGGATACAGATTCTCCTCCCACAGAGCTTCCAGAAGGAAACACAGACCTTTTGACAATTTGGTCTTGTCCCAGTGAGACTCATGTTGGACTTTAAACATAAGGAACTAAAGTATAATACATTTTTGGTATTTAATACTCTAAGTTTGTGATAACATGTTAGGGCAGCAACAGGAAAGAGTGTCCTTGGCAGGTCTGAGAAACAGCAGGGATGACAATGTGGCTGGAAAAGAGTGAGCAAGAGGGAGAAGACAGGAGCCATAGGCGGATGGACAGTGGGGGATGAAGAGCAGACCATATCGGACTTCAGAAGCCACTTTCAGATGTTTCAACTTTAAGAAAAATAAGAAACCATTAAGAGTTTAGAGCAGAGGAACAGCAATCTTCCTTACATTTCCAGAGGATCACTTTGGCTGTGATATGGAGAACAGCCTGTAGGAGAACAGACTTTATATAAGAGGGACCCCCCCAAAAAAGCAAAACCTAGAATTATCTTGGAAAGCATGCCCCTTGTGGTATACTTGGAATTTGTTCCTCTGGATCAAATGGTCAACTAAAGTTTTCATCTGAACGTTTTGAGAAGGTGGCATCACAATTTGTGGAAGAAATGTCCTGAATTGTGGCAAACAGGTGACTGGTTTTTCCACCATGATAACACACCTGCCCACACTGTATTGACCCAAAACAGCATAACCTCCAGGCCCTACCCTCCTTATTCACCTAATCTTACTCTGCCTGAGCAACTTTTTTTTGTTTCCCCAGATTTAAAAAAAAGTCCTCAAAGGGAAACATTTTAGTGTGGTGGCTCACACCTGTAAATCCCAGCACTTTGGGAGACTAAGGAGAGAGGATTGCCGGAGCTCAGGAGTTGTAGACTAGCTTGGGCAACTTGGCAAGACCTCGTCTCTACAATAAATCGAAAAAATTAGCTGGGTGTGGTGGCACACATCTGTGGTTTCAGCTACTTGGAAGGCTGAGGCGGAAGGATTACCTGAGCCCAGCAGGTTGAGGCTACAGTGGCTGTGAGCATGCCACTGCACTCCAATCTGGGCAACAGAGTGAAACTCTGACTCAAAAATTTTTTTAAAAAAAGGAAAACGTTTTGCTATTGTGAAAGAGGTGAAACAAAAAACAGCAGAAGCACTCAAGTTAACGAGTTCAAAAACTGTTTTCAGCAGTGGAAAAAGCATCTCAATAGGTATATTCCATCAAATGGAGAGTACTTTGAAGATGACTGAAGTTTAAACATATAAGAAGGAATATACAATTTTTAATAAATAAATTCCAGGTTTTTTTGGATCTCTCCCTTGTACCATTAAGGGTAGAAGTAGGGTACCTCGTACAAGGGCTGTTGTAGTAATTCAGGAAAAAGGTTTGGCAACTTAGACCAGGTGACCACAAAAGGGACAGAAAGAAGTACAACAGACAAACATCTACCAGGAATCCCAGTCACTTGGTTCTTACCTGATTTCTCTTTTCTTTGGATTGTTATCTTCAGCATATCAAGCTTTTTTTCCTTTTCTAAGTGGAATGCATCATGTTTGAAGGGGTGATGCCCTAGGAACATGCAAAGTCACATATTTAAAACAAACACATTAAAGACACAACTTGCTGGAAATTTGAATCCCAACTGCATAAATTAATCAAAAGCAGTATGTTTCCAACATTTTTAGAATGACCTATTGAAGAAATACTAGTATTTCAAAATCCAGACACATGCAAAAACCTATTTCTAAATAATGTCTATTTTCATTGAATCTCCTCCTACTAGTTCTCACACTGCTCATGTAATTGAGTATTTGCTGCAATGTATTCCATTTCTCCTAATGAACTCTGATATTTTATTCCCTATTTTATTTCATTAAAAATTGTTGATAAAGTCAGATCCACAGTGTGAGTCACTAATTCGGGATTTTCAAAGCATTGAACATGTGAAGACACAAAGCCACTCCCAAGTGTCAGAAGTTTGGGGACAGAAGGCTCAAGTCCTCACCCACTGAGACCAGGTTCCGGAAGTTCTCCAGCATCACATCTTGGTACAGCTTCCTCTGGACAGAGTCCAGTAGCCCCAGCTCCTCCTTGGTGAAGACCACAGCCACGTCCTTGAAGGTCAGTTCCTCCTATAACAACAAACACACCTAACTTCAAACTTATTGTCACAAGCCACATGAAAAGAAACAGCACTGAGAAGGTGGAAAGGATGGGTGGAAAGCTGGTCCAGATTTTGAGGAACTTAATTTGTAGATTCCCCAGCCCTTCTCCTTCTATCTTGCCATGCCACACTCTGACATTCTTCATCCTCACCAAAAGTATGGCAATGACAATACTCTTCACCCTTTTCCTTTGCGTACTCACTGGATCTATTTATAAGGAACCATCTAGAACTCTAAACAATGCATCCTGGGCTACATAGGCTTTACTTTACTTTTTGGCAAATATTACCAATTGCCCCAGAAACATTCAGCATCTTAATACCAACATACTTCATAACACCTACCTTCCTCCTCTCTAATATAGGAACCCTGGTTGCTATCACCTTTCATTAAGGTCTGCCAAACTAAAAAGCTTTTGGTAATGCTATGTATCTGTCTTTTGTGCACTCAAGGCACATGCCACCATTTTCTGCAGTGTTCAGTACCATGCTGGAGCCATCATGCCTCAGTGCACACCACAAGGGACTATCCCTTCAAAGCTATGAGACCTTGGACAAGTTCACCCACTTTCATCTTGGCAAAACAGTTTTTCTATGACAGTTATTTCAAAGACTGAATAAGGGAATACATATAGCATCTGGAACAGTGTGTGGCACAGACTAACTGCCTAACAAACAATAGCTGTTATTTATTATTATTATCATCATTATCTACTTTGGAAATGTAAGGCAGATTGCTATTTCTCTGTACAAAACCCTTAATGGCTTATTTTATTTTTATATTTTTGAGTTGGAGTCTCACTCTGTTGCCCAGGCTGGAGTGCAGTGGCATGCTCACAGCTATTGCAGCCTCGACTTGCTGGGCTCAGGTGATTCTTCCACCTCAGCCTTCCAAGTAGCTGGAACTACAGGCACACGCCACCATGCCCAGCTCATTTTTTGATTTATTGTAGAGATAAGGTCTTACCAAGCTGCCCAGGCTGGCCTCGAGCCCGTGGGTTCAGGCAATCCTCTCACCTCAGCCTCCCAAAGTGCTGGGATTATAGGCATGAGCCACTGTGCCCAGCCTATTTTTTAGTTAAAGCATCTTTATTATCTCATTTCACACTGACTATTATTCAAGGGAACTGATGATCTATATTTACCTGCTCTAAATAATGAATATTTAATTGTATATGTTTTTCTTATTATAATCAATCCTGCAGAAAACATCATGTTATATAGATCTTACTTTCATGTCTATTTAAAATAATTGCAAATAAAAATTAAAGCATCAAAACTAAGAACATCTAAAATTATGAACATATAATGGCAGATTTTCTTTCCTTTTTTTTTTTTTTTTTTTTGGTGCGGGGGGTCAGGGGTCTTACTCTGTTACCCAGGTTGGAGTGCAGTGGCACAATCATTGCTTACTGCAGTCTCAGCCTCCTGGACTCAAGTAATTCTCCCACCTTAGCCTCCCAAATAGCTAGGACTTACAAGCATGTGCCACCACATCTAAAAATTCTTAGAATTTTTTATAGAGATGAGGTCTCATTATGCTGCTCAGGTTCGTCTCAAATTCTTGGGCTCAAGCAATCCTTCCACCTCAACCTCTCAAAGTGCTGGGATTACAGGCATGAGCCACCAAGCCTTACTACCTCCCTAATCTTTCAAGCAAACACAAGCACCTTGTTTCTGATGGCTAAGAGCAGGCTACAAATTTTCTAATGGTTTTGGTAATCTGATTAGGGAGAACAATTCCTTTTATTATTCTCACTTGATTATAAATGAACACCAGTGTTTATTGGCCATCTCTCTCTTTCCTTTTCAATTTACCTCTTCATGTTCTTTGTTCATATACCTTTGGATTTTTTCTCTAGTCTGTGCATAGGATTCTTATTATGGACTTGCCTTTTTTTAGCATCTGTGTGGTAAATATTTCCATCCCAGCCTGTTATATTTTTGGGTAATACTCTATAAGGCATCTTTTGTCAGAGTAATTTAAAGATTTTTCTAGCTGGGTGCGGTGTCTCAAGTCTGTAATCCCAGCAATTTGGGAAGCCGAGGTGAGAGGATTGCCTGAACCCAGGAGTTCAATACCAGCCTGGGCAACTTGGAGAGACCTTGTCTCTACAATAAATCAAAATTTGTCAGGTGTGGGGCGCATGCCTGTAGTTCCAGCTACTTGGAAGGCTGAGGCAGAAGGATCACCTCAGCCCAGCAGGTTAAGACTGCAGTGGCCGTGAATGTGTCACTGCACTCCAGCCTGGTGACAGAGTGAGACTCTGGCTCAAAAAAAAAGTATCCTGGTACACCTGAGGAGGTGCCATGTCAGAAGAGACAGGTCCCCTAAGGAAGGGCTAGGAAGGAGCAGTGCCACCTGTGGACATCATCACCCAGGAGGGCATTCTAGACACCCACACCATCTCCTTCAATGAAGAAATATGTGTTTCTTCTTTTCTATCACTTTCACTTCAATGGAATGGCTAATATTCCTGATCCTTGATTTCCTGTGTGAACCTGAGCAGGTTTCTCATATTTCAAGTATTTAAGTGGAAGATAAGGACGAGAACTGCCTCATCCAGCTGTTATGAATAGTAAATGAAGCAAGAAAATGCAGTGACTGGCAAATCTACTAACATCACCAGACATTTTAACCGAAGGCTACTTACTACTTTGGTCAAATTGCTTGCTACATAAAGGAATAAGTAGAGACCAGTACATAAATACAAAGTATGACTGAGAACACAGAATCTAGTGCTTTCTGTGGGAAAACTCCAACAATACCCGTGTGAAGCAGCAATTAGAGCCTCTTGTGCTGTGCCATGTTGGAGCTGTCTATCTACAAAACAACCAATGTGGCACATGTCAAAAGTACCCCTTTAAAACTGAGCTGCTAGTAAACTTAGGACAAAAAATTGGCACATTTGCTTTTAGAATTGACTATCGGGGAAAAGGTTACATAGGAAAGTTGCCACTGCAATGTTCCTTAATCAGTAAAATTCCTAAATCATCTAAACGTCTGTGAATGAGAAGAAGTTAAAAAAGATAGGCCAGGGGCGGTGGCTCACACCTATAATCCCAGCACTTTGGGACGCAGAGACAAGGGGATTGCCTGAGCTCAGGGGTTCGAGACTAGTCTGAGCAACAAGACCTCATCTCTACAATTAACAGAAAAATTAGTTGGGCGTGGTGGCACATGCCTGTGCCAGCTACTTGAAAGGCTGAAGCAGAAGGATGGCCTGAGCCCAGCAGGTTGAGGCTGCTGTGGCCGTGAGCGTGACACTGCACTCCAGCCTGGGCGACAAAGTGAGACTCCAACTCAGAAAAAAGAAAGATAAATTAACTAAATGAGAACTACAAAAAATGAACATTATTTAATACTTAATGGAAAAGATAACAATTTAAAATGAGATGTTAGCTAGGCGCAGTGGCTCATCCCAGCACTTTGGGAGGCTGAGGCAGGAGGATTGCTTGAGCCCGGGAGTTTAAGACCAGCCAAGGCAACACAGCGAGACCTTGTCTCTACAAAAAAAAAAAAAAATTAGCTGAGCATGGTGGTATGCACCTGTAGTCTGAGCTACTCATGAGGCTGATGTTGAAGGATCACAGGAGCCCAGGAATTGGGGCTGCGGTGAGCCATGACCATCCCCTGCACTCAGCCTGGCTGACAGAGTGAGACCTCAACTTAAAAAATTAAAATAAAAAAATAAAATAAAAAAGATGTATATCATGAATACAAATATAGTTATGAAAGTACATTAGAGAAGACTATGAGAAAATAAAAACAGTTTATTTAGAAGCAGAGAAGTGGAAGGATTGTTCATTCCTCTTTTGTTTCTATTCCATAAAAATACAGTATCCGCAGTATTATTCCTCAGTATCCTTGAGGAATTGGTTCAAGGATCTCTACACCGTAATCTGCAGATGCTCAAGTCCCTTATATAAGATGACTTGGTACAGTTGGCCATCTGTATCCATGGGTTTCACATTTCCGGAAGAAAAGTATATATGGTCAGCCTTATTGATCCTAGGGTTTCAATCTGCAGTTAGTTGAATTTGAGGAGGCAAAACCTGCAGCTGCAAAACCCACAGATGCTAAAATCACAGATATGGAGGGTCAACTGTAACAATAAAATCAACAAAATCTAAAAACAAAGTCAACTCAAAAGAGACAGAGCCCCTGGCATTAAACAGGTCGTCAAATGCCTGCTATTCTTGAATCTAAGCAAGACAGAGAAAACACATGACATTCTAAGTAGTGAGGTAGAATTTGAACAGCAAGAAAGGCAAGACTTACTCACCTTGAACATGGTCATTGTCCCTCCCACTTCAGGAAATTTGCAGAGTCCTGAATGATGCAGTTCAAGGAAAACTAGAATTGTGCCTGGAACTCTATAGAAGGCAGAAAAAGAGATATGAAAGGCTGGCCAGGGATGCCACCCACCAATACAAACATGTGTTGTAAATTAGAATATGAATGTTCACAGCAGCATTATTCATAATGACCCCAAAATGCAAACAACCAATATGTCCTTCTATGGCTAAATGAATAGACAACTTGTGGCATAGCCATGTAATGGAATATTATTTGGAAATTAAGATGAAGTATTGACTCATGCTACAGCATGTATGAAGCTTGAAAACAATATGCTAAGTGAAAGAAACCAGTCACAAAGGACCACATATTGTATGACTCTATTTGTATGAAATGTCCAGAATAGACAAATATATATATAAGATATGGTACTTGGTGGGGATTTGGGGTGAAAATGGGGACTGACTGTATGGTACCAGGAGTCCAATTGGGGAATGAAAATGATTTAAATCTGAATTATGATGATGGTTACTCCACTCAGAAAAGTTTCTGAAGATCACTGAAGTGTATACATATAAAATGGGTGAATTTTATAATATGCAAAATATGTATCATAAAGTTGAAAAAACTTTATGTTGAAAAACCTCTATGTCGTTTATTGTTAAAGACTGGATTCTGAGTTCACATTGATAGAATATTTATATTTGACTGAATGAATAAATAAATGGGGAGCAGGGGGAGTTTTTCTTTACAGTAAAATGCCCACTAATAAATATATCTACCCATAAAAAATTCTACTAATAAAAAAATAGTAACTTTACAATAAAGAAATCTGACAAACATCACCTTAGCCAAGTAAACAAAGTTGAGACCACCAACAAAGGGACAAAGCAACATCATCTGGTCCCTGTTATGTTGCAATGAGAAGGATACCTCGGCTGAGTGCAGTGGCTCAGTCTGTCATCACAGTACTTTGGGAGGCCAAGGTGAGAGGATTGCCTGAGCCCAGGGGTTCAAGACCAGTCTAGGCAACATGGTGAGACCTCGTCTCTAAAATAAATCACAAAAACTAGCACAGCGTGGTGGCATGCATCTGTAGTTCCAGCTGCTTGGAAGACTGTGGCAGAAGGATTGCCTAAGCCCAGCAGGTTGAAGCTGTGGTGGCGGTGAGCATGCCACACTCCAGCCTGGGCGACAAGAGTAAGACTCCAACTCTCAAAAAAAAAAAAAAAAAGAAAAGAAAAGGACACCTCACCACTTCTGTGGCATGGTATCCTGCCAACAATGCATAATCTGAATCTGAATCTAAGCACGACATACCCCAAATAAACACCTTTGTCCCAAATAGCTTGCATATACACTTCAAAATTATTGGGAACAAAAAAGTACATACACTTCAAAATTATCAAGAACAAAAAAGTAACAGTTAAGCTTCCAGAGTTTAATAAAAAATGATTGAAGTTTTCAAAAACCAGGAAATAGTAATAGGAATAATAATAATAAAGAGAAGAATAAAGATAAGCATGATAGAATATGGAAGTTCACTAGTTTACTCTCTCGATGTTATTTGGAAATTGAAATAATGAAACAGATGAGGGGAAGAACATTGAGAAAAGTACAATAAAAATTTTGTAAAACATCTGTAAGTAAATGAATATAAACAAAGTACCACTAAAAAGAAAGCTAGAAGCTTAACTGTTACTGTCTTTATATTCTGGATTCAAGGGTAATTACATTTTTTCCTCATATTTCTATTTCTGAATGCTCCACAGTGATATCGGTCTATAAGAATATAAATATTTGTTGTCTTCCAAGTAGCTGGAACCACAGATGCACGCGCCCCACCAAAAAATATATATATATCTATATATATTTGTAATAAGTGAAACAAAACAGTTGACAATGTTTTTTAAAAACTCAGATAAGTACAAACCGATCAGCCCGCTCTCAAGGACCCTACAATCAATTCCTGATTTACTTTTCCGCCTGATTCCAGCTAGTTCCTCTGTCTCAGTGAGAATGTATCCAAGAGACTATCAACTCAGGCTCGGGATCCTCACGGCCGAAGTTCCAACCCCGGCTCCACCTCTTACTACCTGGGTGACTCCAGGCAAATAACTCGTACTCCCTGTGTCACAGTCTCATTCTTAAGATAAGAAAAAAGCAGTACGCCTACACCAAGCCACGCTGTGATATAAATGTATTTATCCGTATAAAACCCGTGGCACTGAAGTCACCGATTAAGGCCCGATTCTCTTCAGTACCCATGCCCGAGGACGCATCCTACACAGCATCCTTGAGGGGAGCATCCCTGTGAAAGAACAAAGCCAAGTCCCACTCACGCGGAGCTCTGCTGTCAGCACCACCAAGTCGCTCCCTGCGGTCCTTTTGAGAAGTCGGGCTGGGGGAGGAGAAGGCTGTGAAACACCCGACCCTGCCGCCGGCCTCGGGAAAAGCTCAAGTTCCCCTCCCTGCGTGGAAGATGCAAACACCCCTCTGCTTCCTCAGGATTTCCAGCGCCCTGCGGGATCCGAGAAGGGCCGGGGCCACGGGCTGGAGCTCCGCCCCCACCCGGGACCGGCCGGCTCCGCGGGGAATTAACACTAAGCAGGAGAGGGCCCGGTCGCTGCGTGCACCTGCTTTGAGGCTTTCACTCGTATCACCTCTTTCGGGTCCAGAAAGAGCCTATTAGGTTGGTGTTAGGGTGGTTAGTCCCTATTTGGAACCCCAGGGAGATTAAGTGACACCCAAGGTTATACACGAGGAAGTGGACGCGCGTGGGATGGAGGGAGGCGGACCGGGCGAGCCGAGAGCCCCGGAAACCCTCCAACCAGGCGACACGCGGCACCACCAAGTCCCAACCGCCAGGGGCCGCGAGGACAGCTCAAAGCCAGAAAGCTTCGCCGACCAGAACGAAAACCGCCGCCCTCGCCCCTCCGAACCTTCGCTCTCCACCAAGGCGTCTTTTCCCCTAAGTCGACCGCCGGCTCCTTGCGGGCCCCAGGAGTAAGTCCAAGACGTTGGGCAGGACCCGTAGGACAGGGGACTAGCTCAAACCACCCCGGAACGTACGGAAAGGTGGCCACAGTACCCTCTGGGAGCGGAAACGCCCGCGACTCCACGCAGTCTCTGGACTACATTTCCCAGAATTCCCCGGATCCGCCCGCCCGAGCCAAGGTGGCCGGGACGCCACAGTGTCTAGACTTCACTTCCCAGAATTCCCCGCATCCGTCGCCGGAGCCAAGGTGGCCGCGACCCCATACGGGGTGCGGAGTATATTTCCCAGAATTGCCCCATCCGTCTGCCGGAGCCAAGATGTCCGCGACTCCGCACAGCGTGTGGGCTACGCTCCTCTGAGTGCTGAAGTAAAGTCGCCCATAGTCTCACCCTTCAGGGGCAAGTGGGGTTGCGACTCCACGGAGCTCTCGACTGCATTTCCCGCAGTGCCCACGAGGGACTCATCCTACAGCCCCGAGCGTCTGGTCGGTGATGTGTCTGAAACTGACAGTCGTCCTTCCCCTGAGGCCTCGAGCGAAAATATTGTACAGACACGACTTCCTGAAGTCGAAATGCCTGCCAAGTATGACGGGAGCATTTTTGGAAAGAGAACTGGCGACAGGAATTAACGGGGAGTGGCCGTTTAGCCGTCAGCAGATGACTGAAAGGGAGCTGATGGTTGTAAGCTGCCAACGTGAGGCTAAAAATAAGAGTTTAAAGAATGGGCGAGGCCGGGCGCGGTGGCTTACGCCTATAATCCCAGCACTTTGGGAGGCCAAGGTGAAAGGATTGCCTGAGCCCGTGGGTTCAAGACCAGCCTGGGCAAATTGGCGAGAACTCATCTCTACAATAAATCAAAAAATTAGCCGGGCGTGGAGGCGTGTGCCTGTAGTTCCAGCTATTTGAAAGGCTGAGGCGGAAGGATCGCCTGAACCCAGCAGGTGCCGTGAGCGTGTCACTGCACTTCAGCCTAGGCGACAGAGTGAGACTCCAACTCAAAAAAAATAAAAATAAGAATAGGAAGCCTGCCGGGCACGGTGGCTCATGTCTGTAATCCCAGCACTTTGAGGGGCCGAGGCAAGAGGATTGGCTGAGCCCACCGGTTCGAGACCGGCCTGGGCAACTTGGTGAGACCTCGTCTCTACAATAAATCAAGAAAAAATAGCCGGGGTGGTGGCGTGTGCCTATAGTTCCAGCTACTTGGAAGGCTGAGGCGGAAGGATCGCCTGAACCCTCTGGGTCAAGGCTGCGGTGGCCGTGAGCGAGCCACTGCCTTCTAACCTGGATGACAGAGTGAGATTCCAACTAAAAAAAAAGTAAAGAAAAAATGGGCGAAGTACAATGGTTTGTGGGGGGCAATGAGGAGAGAGGAAGGTACCAGCCCCTACTGACCTTGTGGTACCACTGGTGTGGCAGGAAAAACAACCATCATTGGAGAGAGCTCAAATGGCCTATCCTCATGGAAAAGCTATCTTTCTTCATTTACACTTTTCATGGTATTATTATTTCAACTGTGGAGGTAGAAACACCAAATTTCAGAGAAGTTCATAAACTGCCCAACATCTCAAAGACGGTGAAGCTTTTGACTTTGGCATCAATCTGACACCCAATGCCTATGATTTATTAATGCAGTACCACTGAGACGATCTATTGGTGAGGAAGCATGTTTTATTGTTAAGAGTTTCTTCTTAGACCAGGCAGGGTAACTCGTCTATAATCCCTGCACTTTGGGAGGCCAAAGTGAGAGGATTGCCTGAGCCTATGGTTGAAGACCAGTCTGGGCAAATTGGCGAGACCTCATCTCTACAATAAATAAAAAAAATTAACCAGACGTGGTGGCACTCACCTGTAGTTCCAGCTACTTGGAAGGCTGAGGTGGAAGGATCACCTGAGCCCAGCAGGTCGAGGCTGCGGTGGCCATGAGTGTGCCACTGCCCTCCAGTCTGGACAATAGAGTGAGACTCTGACTCAAAAGAAAAAAAAAATTTCTTTTATGTATTTTGGTTTAAAAATGTTTATTATAGTTAGAAATTTGAATACTGGCACGTTAGTTGAAACAAGTTAGTAATAGTATAAAGCAAAATCAAAAAAACAATCCATCTAAAATCCTTCTCCTTTAAGATAACCAGAGTTTTCTACCTCCTAAACAGAAAATTGACCTATCAACCTATATTTTTATTTTTTTAAAAGAGTCTCATGTTCTATATTCATTACTAAAAAAAAAAACTTTTCATATTTATATTTAGTCAAAAATATAAGTAAGTGTGACTGTGCCAATCACACAATGACTAACATCTCCCTCTCTGAAATGAGATGAATGACCCCAAAGACATTTCAGAGATCATCTGTCCCTCCCATGGCAATCCCAGAGTGAAAGAACCTGGGGTGCAGAATGGGCCTCTGATGTCAGGCTCCACCTAACATTTTAGGCTGAGTTAGCTGCATGCTAAGATTGAGCATCTCAAGAAATTTTATCTTTTGAGAGGGCAGATTAGAGCAAGGATTCAGATGTAACTTGTATAGAAACAGCAGTCACTTCATTTTCCATCCGCAAGAGGGTCTGGCAACTCCTCCATCCAAAGGATTCTGAATTTGTAAACTACCCACATCTTGAAATTGGTTTGGAGGCTGTGACTCTGTTTTGCTGATTGAAGTTTGACTCTGCTTGCATGGCCTAGAAGTCTTCCTCGTATACAGATCAAATAGCAATTTAGCAGACTTTCAGTCTATTCTCTGTGGACACCAACATGAACAAGGCACAGTCAAGAAGTCAATGCAGAATGACTTGAACCTTTGAAGTCATTTTGCATGAGCTGGATTTAGGACCGTGAGCTAATCTTTTTCTTTCCTATTTTCTCCAGTGGAATTACAAGCAGTCAACAAGTCTTATACTCCATGCTTTAACTAACATATTCTAAGGTAATACATCAGAATCACTCAGAACCTTGCCTTCTATAGGTGTGTAATTAGGAGTATCCAATGTGATATTTTGTATATATTTATTGACATATCAGGCCATTGACAAGGTCCTATTACCCATGGGAAATAGTAGCATCAGTGTCTTTAAATTGACATAGGGTAAGGATCCAATCCCAGAAATCACAGAATCAGTTAAGAAAACTTACTGTTAACATTCTGTTCCTCTAGAACCACTTGTGGAACAAAAATCTTTTTTGAAAAGGATTCAACAGAAGCAGAATCATTAGGAGTTAATATAAGACAGCTATTGCAGGGAACTGGCTTACTCAATTGTGGGGCTGACAGTCCGTCTGAAACCCACATGCCATGCTATCAGGAAAGCCAGGTTGAACTCTCAGCCATAAACTTTAGGTGCTACTAACAGGAGGAATTGTTTCTTCTCCCAAGGAAACTTCAGCTCTCCTATTAAAGAATTTCAACTAATTGAATTAGGCCCACTTAGATTATCTAGGATACTGTTCCTTACTTAAAGTCAATTGATTATGGACTTTATTCACATCTAAATAATAACCTTTGCAGCTACACCTAGATTAGGATGATTGAACAATTAGGGCTTGTAGTCTAAGCAAGTTGCCGTATAAATTAACCATCCCATAGATCTTCATAATATGGAACTAGTTAAGTAAAAAATACCTGAAACACTGAAATGCTATGCAGGCATTATATATATAAGATTGTAGTTCAATTTATTGAAAAGACCATCAGTAATTGTTTCAGTTAATGAAACACTTCAGTTAGAAAATACTATGCATAGTATGTTACTAGTTTTATAAAATTCTATACAAATGTTACCTGTATATATATATACATATACTCAAGCATACTCATCTAAACTATTTAGAGTTGTGAGTTTCCACTAACATCCACTTTCTTCTTTGAACTTTCAAGTAAAAATGTGTTTTTCTTTTTTTTTTGAATTGGAGTCTCACTCTGTCGCCCAGACTGGAGTGCAGTGGCCGCTCCCAGCCACCGCAGCCTCGACCTGCTGGGCTCCGGCGATCCTTCCGCCTCAGCCTTCCAAGTAGCTGGAACTACAGGCGCGTGCTACCATGCCTGGCTAATTTTTGATTTATTGTGGAGACGAGGTCTTGCCAAGTTGCCCAGGTAGGTCTCAAACCCACGGGCTCAGGCAATTCACTTACCTCAGCCCCCCAAAGCATGGGATTACAGGCTGAGCCACTGAGCCCGGCCTTCACCTCAGTCTTTTATTTTAAAAGTAAAATTATTTAGAAGAGCATAGACTATTTGTTAAATAAAAAATAAAATTAGGCCAGGCTCGGTGACTCAACCTGTGATTCCTGCACTTTGGGAGACAGAGGTGAGTGGATTGCCTGAGCCCACGGGTTCAAGACCCGCCCAGGCAACTTGGCGAGATCTTGTCTCTACAATAAATCAAAAAATAGCTGGGCATGGT